ACAGCTTAGCTTTGCAAAGTTGTATTTAAACAAACAACAAAACTCCTGGAACAATGTCTTTTGGACAGATGAGCCCAAAGTGAAGCGAAACGTTTGGCAAAAACCAAACAGCCAATCAGCTCAAACACCTCAACCCAACTGTCAGCACGATGGGGGACAACTGATGATTTGGGGATGTTTTGTACCCGTGGGACCCGAAGACCTTCCAGTCACCGAACTCCTCTGTACACCAAAGAATTCACTTGCGTCTTAGCATTTCCTGGTTAGATTTCTGTGAAATGTCTTAAAGAATGGCCTCAGTCATGTTCAGACTCTCAGTCTGACTGAAATGCTGTAGGCCTCAGGAGGTAGAGCAGGTCACCTGCTGATCGGAAGGTTAGTGGTTCGATTCTTTGCTCCTCCTCCAGTCTGCATGGGCAAGATGGGCAAGATACTAATCCCAAGTTGCTCTCCGATGCATCCATCGGAGTATGAATGTGTCTGAATGTAGTTAGGAAGCACTAAGCATAGAGGAAAGTGCTTGGATGAATGGGTGTGATTGGGTGAATGCCGTATGTTGTTTAGAGCGCTTTGAGTACTCCGGGAGAGTAGGAAAGCCTTATATAAGAATCAGTCCATTTATGAGAGTGCATGAGCTACAAAAAAACAAATAATTCAAGTTTTTGCTACTAAAGTTGTTACTAATCTACTGAATGAAGATGTGTTTTTTTTTCCAAAGGACTGTATGTAACGTAAAATTACTTAATTATGAAATTTAGATAAGCTGTACTTAATTTTCATTCATTTATGGTTTTTAGATAGCCATTGAAGCAATTTTTAGCTAACCTATTAAAATCATTTATCTTTAACTGACAGTTTACTAATTGTAATTACATGATTCATCCATTACTTTTAGCTATTTCAAACAATTTTATCAAATCCCATTTTCCCATTTTCCTTTACTTTCTCATACATGTGAATGGAAGTCATTATTTCACATGATACATGAGACGCTGTTAAATTATTTTCTTTCCAGACTCTTTGTTCTCACAACATTTTCTTATAAAACTCAACATTAGGAATTTGGACAAATCTTATATAAAAAAACAGAAAACATTGTCCAACTACTGTGTGTTTGTATGTGTGAACGCCACACTTACACTTTTGTCTACATACTAACACAATTCTGTCTGTGTGTCTTCCCCCCTGCCTAAGGCAAAGACGGGGACTTACCAAATACCACACTCATCCACGCACGCATAAACACAGACACAT